ACAGAAAATGTTGTTTTCCCCTCCTCCCCCCCCTTTTTTTGGCTGTTTTGTGATACTGTCTCAAATAGTTTAAAAAACCCACTTAAAATAAATATATAATGTAATTGAGCATCACAATGTTCCATCCCTATTGATATGCCTGGTTTTTGTTTTGTGTATTTTGATAGGTATTTTATGGTGGTATGTTTTAATATGTGTATTTTAAAGGGTCCAGATCTATCATTGTTTGAATCCACAGTGCTCTCTGGATGTAGGTGAACTACGACTCCCAAACTCAAGGTCAATGTCCACCAAACCCTTCCGTATTTTCTGTTAGTCAAGGGAGTTCTGTGTGGCAAGATTGGTTCAATTCCATCGTTGATGGAGTTCAGAAAGCTTTTTGATTGTAGGTGAACTATAAATCTCAGCAACTTCAACTCCCAAATGACAAAATCATAATTTTTGAGTGATTGTCACTCCTTGTGTTGTGAGACGTTTTGTTGCCAAATTTAGTGTGATTTCGTTCATTGGTTCTTTTGTTTTTAAGGTACTCATTATGCACAGAGCATTTTTACATATATAGAAGAAGATATAAGGATATACTGTTTTATTGCATTGTCGAAAGCTTTCATGGCTGGAATCACTGGGTTGTTGTAGGTTTTTTCAGGCTATATGGCCATGTTCCAGAGGTATTCCCTCCTGACGTTTCGCCTGCATCTATGGCAAGCATCCTCAGAGGTAGTGAAGTCTGTTGGTATTAGGAAAATGAGTTTATATATCTTTGGAAAGACCAGGATGGGACAAAGGACTCTTGTCTGCTGGAGCTAGGTGTGAATGTTTCATCTCACCACCTTGATTAGCATTTGATAGCCTGGCAGTGCCTGGAGCAATCTTTTGTTGAGAGGTGATTAGATGTCCCTGATTGTTTTCCCTCTGCTGTTTTGCTGTTTTAATTTTAGAGTTTTTTTAAATACTGGTAGCCAGATTTTGTTCATCTTCATGGTTTCCTCCTTTCTGTTGAAATAGTCCGCATGCTTGTGGATACTGTTTTATTGTTGCATATTTTATTTGCATATTCTAAGTTGTAATGTTTTTGATTGTGGGCTGCTTTGGAGAGTTTAAAGCGTGGTATAAATAAATTAAAAAAATAAAGTTCCATCCTCCTTGATTGACAGCGTGAAATGGGAGGGAAGAGGCGGAGGAGGAGGAGGGGATTTTATTTATTTGTCGTGTCAGGACAACCAGTCAAATTATATTACATTTCTAACAGAACATTATTTTTTGTCCCATATGTCAGTGGACAACACACATAATACCACAATTTATTACATTTCTACCAGAAACAAAATAACAACGACAGACCACATAACCCCAATTTTGTGGAGGTTTATTTTGTTAGCTGAGTAAAATTGTCCCTTTTTGTGACCCGTATCTGGCCACTTGGATTTATATCTACATATTTAAATTGTATTTTTTTATGTTCATCGCGTGCAACCAACAAAACATTGTATTACTTTCTAACAGAAGAACAAATGAAATGACACAAACTAACAGACAGAAAAAAAAAAAAATCCCGCACAATTTTTTGCAAACTTGGTACACATGCCTAATAAATAGAGTGGTCCTTTGGGTAAAGCACAGTATTCATAACGGAAAACCACGTAAGTGGCGTGTGGGTCTGACTTCAGTATCTGGCCACTTGGAGTGCCCTTCTGGTGTTGCTGCAAGAAGGTCCTCCATTGTGACATGTGGCAGGGCTCAGGTTGCATTGCAGCAGGTGGTCAGTGGTTTGCTCTTCTCCACACTCGCATGTCATGGATTCCACTTTGTAGCCCCATTTCTTAAGGTTGGCTCTGCATCTCGTGGTGCCAGAGCGCAGTCTGTTCAACGCCTTCCAAGTCGCCCAGTTTTCTGTGTGCCCAGGGGGAGTCTCTCATTTGGTATCAGCCATTGGTTGAGGTTCTGGGTTTGAGCCTGCCACTTTTGGACTCTCGCTTGCTGATGTGTTCCAGCGAGTGTCTCTGTAGATCTTAGAAAACTATTTCTAGATTTAAGTCGTTGACGTGCTGGCTGATACCCAAACAGGGGATGAGCTGGAGATGTCTCTGCCTTGGTCCTTTCACTATTGGCTGCTACTTCCCGGCGGATGTCAGGTGGTGCAATACCGGCTAATCAGTGTAATTTCTCCAGTGGTGTAGGGCGCAGACACCCCATGATAATGCGGCATGTCTCATTAAGAGCCACATCCACTGTTTTAGTGTGGTGAGATGTGTTCCACACTGGGCATGCATACTCAGCAGCAGAGTAGCACAGCGCAAGGGCAGGTGTCTTCACTGTGTCTGGTTGTGATCCCCAGGTTGTGCCAGTCAGCTTTCGTATGATATTGTTTCTAGCACCCACTTTTTGCTTGATGTTCAGGCAGTGCTTCTTGTAGGTCAACGGTCCAGAGTGAAGAAAAAAAAGTAGAGAAGAAACACAAAAAACGAGACAAACAGCGCTCCAAAGAATGCGTCTGATAACAATAAACAAACCAAAAATAAACAGTCACACAAACAACAGGTCACAGAGCACGGTCCAGAGTGACTCCCAGGTATTTGGGTGCGCTGCAATGCTCCAGTGGGATTCCTTCCCAGGTGATCTTCAGAGCTCGGGATGCTTCTCTGTTCTTGAGATGAAAGGCACATGTCTGTGTTTTAGATGGGTTAGGGATCAGCTGGTTTTCCCTGTAGTAGGCAGTAAGAGCACCTAGAGCTTCGGAGAGCTTCTGTTCTACCGTCTCAAAGCTCCCTGCTTGAGCAGTAATGGCACGATCATCAGCATAGATGAAACTCTCTGTCCCTTCTGGCAGTGGCTGGTCATTTGTGTAGATGTTGAACATGGATGGAGCAAACACGCTCCCCTGAGGCAGGCCGTTCTTCTGTTTCCGCCATCTGCTTCTCTGGCCCGGGCCATATGGCCATGTTCTGGAGGCAATTTTTCTCCTGACGTTTCGCCTGCATCTATGGCAAGCATCCTCAGAGGTGAGGTCTGTTGGAAGTAGGAAAAATGGGTTTATATATCTGTGGAATGACCAGGGTGAGACAAAGGACTCCTGTCTGCTGAGGCTAGCTGATCACCTTGATTTGTATTCAATGGCTTGGAAGTGCCTGGGGGGAATCTTTTGTTGAGAGTGATTTTATGTGCCTGTTTGTTTTCTCTCTGTTGTTTTGCTGTTGTAATTTTAGAGTTTTTTTAATACTGGTAGCCAGATTTTGTTCATTTTCATGGTTTCTTCCTTTCTTGTTGTATTGTATTTTATTGATGTATT